GAGGCCCCGCCCCGCCCGCCGCAGCGGGCTCGCTTGTCTGACTGTGCCGTATGCCTGCAGGATTGAGTTGCACCCTTGGTGGCGTCGGGGTTTCTCGGCTCAGCACATTCTCCCTCACCCCCCAGCCTCCCCGATATTAATAGCCCTGCATCGGGCCATCCAGCTGGCCTGGAGCCCCTCCCCATGCTCGAGTGTCTCCCTTAGTCACCCCAGAAAACATTCAAAACATCTCTGTGCCTTGGTGTTCCTGACTGTGAAATGGGAACAGGGCTCCCTGTTTCACACCAGAGCCGCGCAGAATGAGGGCCAGGAGGAGGCCCAAAGGGCAGCTTCTAGAGCGATCTTAGGTCACTATTATAGTCGTCATCTCCGTTGTACACGAGGAACCAGACTCAGAGAGGGCCCGTGACTTTCCCAAGCTCACACAGCGCCTAAGCCGCAGAGCTGGAACGCGAACCCCGGATCTCCGCCACGGGATCCACGCCAGCGCCCCCAAATTATGCAGTCCCCTAGCCCAGGGCAACATCTTGCCCTGTCCCGACCCGAGCACCCTCGCCCCCATTCGGCCCCTCCCTCCTCCCCCATATTTAGCGCGAATCCGATCCGGGGCTGGACCCGGCGCTACTTAACGCGGCCCCTGTGTACTGGAGAGCGCCAAACAGAGCAAAGCCAGGAGCCCCAGCAAGATGATGATGGTGATGCAGCCCGAGGGTCTGCGGGCCGGGGAGGGGCCCTTCGCCGGCGGCGGCGGCGAGTACATGGAACAGGAGGAGGACTGGGACCGCGACCTGCTGCTGGACCCGGCCTGGGAGAAGCAGCAGCGGAAAGTGAGTACTAGCCCATCTCCTGATGGCAAAACTGAGGCCTGAGAAGCTGATCGGTTTGTGGTTGTCATCTCAGCAGGTCAGGAGTAGAGCCTCCAGAGTGCCACTCCCTCGCCCAGGCTCTGCCCATCAGTCCTCTGGGAGCCCTCACGAGGGATTTAGGAAGACAAGGAGAGTTTCTGGGGTGACCCCCAGGATTCATTCCCCTGGGTCCACTGCCGTACTTCTCCTAGCGAAAACGGATTGGGCTTAGCTCAGGAGATCCAAGTTTGGAGGTTTCTGGAAGAAAAATCTTTCTGCCCACACCCACCCCACCAGTCTAGTCAAATATTCCCAGGCCCCACCCTGAGGGCTTGCAGCCAGGCAACTAGTAAAGAGAGGGGAATGTTGGGGAGAGGGCTGCCATCCCAGACCCCTTCCCACCCTCTCCTCTGTATTCTCTCCAGCATGATGTCCGTAGACTCTATTCCAGTTGTCAAATGAGGAAACTGAGGACTAGAAAGGGGCAGAAATAGAACCCAAATCACGAACTGTCAGAAAACAAGACTCCCCACCACAACCCGAGGGTCTTTGCCCCTTGCTTGCACCATCCCCACTCTTTCCCAAGATACCCCTCCCTGCCCAGTGGCCCTGAGTCTGCTCAAAAGGCCACAGGGTTGGGGAGGAGGGAGCCCTGGGTCCCCTTACGCAGTAACCTGACTCTCCAGCCAGATGGACACTTTGTGCTGATGCAGCGGCTTGGGGAAGCTAGAGAGGGGCACGTGGGCAGCTGCTGCTCTGGCCCAGCCTTGTAGGGTACTCAGGCCCCCTCTCCCTGAGCTATTTTCACTCCCAGACTTTCCCAAGTGGAGAGGGCAGAACCTACCTGGGTTCCCAAAAGAGAAATGATCCGGGCTAGAGTGAAAAAACTTTAGGGAGTGGCAGGCCAGGAGTAGGGAGGACACCATGAGGTTATTGGACCCTGCTCAGCATTTGCCAACAGTGTATGACTCCAGGACTGGGCGGGGAACAGGGGTGCTCAGTGGAATCTGCAGGATCTGAGAATCCCAGGATTTAAAATCAGAGCCCTTCTACTGGGTTAGGTGACAGGAGATAACTCCAGGGACCAGGAGGCTCAGCCAGCTCGGCTGGGGTACCCCAGGTGACAGCCTCCCCCACAGGCTCCTCTTGCACCTGCCTCCAAGCAGGCTGGCCCAGCAATCTCCTGGTGATGTCATTCCTGCCCCTGACCCCAACTGCCGTCTGCTATGCAACAACTCTTATCCTCACCCCCACCCACCCAGGCCTCTCCCCAATCCAGGTCCATGTGCCCCTCTTAAGATACATCGCTGTCTGTAACTTGCCTTTGTCATTTAACAAAATATGAGGAATAGCCTTCTAACCCAACTGAACAGCCGCCCATCCCATCCATTCATTCAGTGGCTGAAGAGTGTAGATGCTCTGTAAATTAATCAGCATCTCCAGGATGCCGGACATTCTGATCCTTTCTCATCCAACATTGTTTTTTTACAATGTAATGAACATCTCTGTGCTCAGCTTTAGCCCTGCCTCATCCCTGCTACTCCCCTGCATCTTGGAACACTCCCACCTTCTCCCACCTGATGCCCGAGTCCTTCTCATTCAACCTCATTCAAAAATATTCATGCACTATTTCTTGAGGAGGTCCTACTATGTGTCAGGCACTCTTTTAGGTGCCAGGAATTCAGCAGAGGACAAGCTCAGGGAGCTTATATTCCAGCAAGGACAAGTGTTTCTCTCTCATCCACCTCATCCCGCCCCATTCCCTTCAACTGACACTTTCTCTCTCACCCTAGTCCCAACCACCGCCTCCTCACTTCTCCCTTCTGCTGTGCCAAGGCTTCGGTCTCCACTCTGCAACCAGGACGAGCTTTTAAAAACACAGTTCTGCCTGCCTCCCTCCTCTGTCTGAAAGCTTCCCTGCCTCCCTGTTGCTCTCAAGTTCAAACTCCCTGGCTTAGCACCCAAGATCCTGCATGACCTGGCCACTGCTGCCCCTCCGGCCTGCCTCTCACCGCTTATACCCCAACACCCCCAGCTTCATTCCAGCAGTGCCTAGAGAGCTGTAGCCCTGCAAACCTAGCAACAGTTTCTCACTGCCAAACACTTGCCCACGTGGCTGCCCCTTCCTGGAATGCCCTTGCCTGCCCTTTCCTGGCTGAGTAACTCCTGCTCTTCCATCATAGCTCTGATAGAATATTAGCCTTCCCCAAGAGGTTCCCCACCCTATTTGGAGAACTCCTCCCCTAAAATCCCTGATGCCAGTCTCTCCCAGCTCTTCTCAGACCAACATGAGCCTTTGATTGGCTGTGAGTTCCTTTAGGGCAGGGACCACACCTCATTAAGAATCATGTTTGTCAAATGAAAGAATGCCCCGCCCAGCAGGCTTGGCTCAGTGGTTGATCCATGGACCTGAAGGTCACGGTTCGATTCCCAGTCAGAGCACATGCCGGGGTTGCGGGCTCCATCCCCAGTAGGTGTGCAGGAAGCAGCCAATCAATGACTCTCATCATTGATGTTTCTGTCTCTCTCTCTCCCTCTCCCTTCCTCTCTCTGAAATCAATAAAAACATATTTTTTTAAAAAAGAATACCCCTCGTCTGACCGGACGTGGCTCAGCAGTTGAGCGTCTACCTGGGATCCAGGCGATCAGGGTTCGATTCCTGGTCAGGGCACACGCCTGGGTTGCCGGCTCGATCAATGACTCTCTCATCATTGATGTTTCTGTCTCCCTCTCCCTCTCCCTCTCCTTTCCTCTCTCTGAAATCAATAAAGATATAAAAAAAAAAAATTTAAAAAAAAGAAAAAAAGAATACCCCTTCCTTTTCCATGGAGGCCCCACCCAGACCTGCCTTTCCCCCTGCCCTATCCAGTTCCAGGGCATCCCAGACTCCAGGGTTGGAAGGAACTACAGAGAATCAACTGCTCTTCCTGTGCTTGGGACCCCATCAAATAGTGCTCAGCACTCACACACCTCCAGTGACAGGAAGCTCACCCCCTTTTCTTAGCAATGACAGCCCTCAAGAATATAAAGCAATATGTTCCATGTCCCACTTCTAGGGCCTCTGAAAAGCTGGTCTGAGGAAGGGAAACTGGCTGAGGGAAAGAATTCCTAATAACTCCAGGGCCACCTTCCAGGAGTTTCTACCTTGTGGTGGGGGAATGCTCTGAATTCTAGAATCCTGCCAGGTCA